GTATGAGTTTCTGCGGAGTACAGTGTTTTAGTACTCACGCTCCCACTATTATCATGTTTTTCAGGAACAACGTCGGACGAGAGGAGTGAGCTGGTTTGTGGATCGTGGTCAAAGATATGTCTAGCAGCCATTGTACATTATTGTACAGCTATGTTTTGCCACGTATGACTTCCGCTGTCACTTTACGATATTTCAACTAGCATGTCAGTTTTTGTTTTTTTTAAACTGATTTATCAGACAGATTTTTATAAAGTATTACATGCCAGTTGATCTAAATTAATCCGTTTATTCTTCAAGGTTAAATTTTAATAAAGATAACGGATTTTCAAAGCAATGAATGGTTTTTAGTAGCATCCCGAAAAGGATTTCGCAAATAAATTTGTATTATTAAGGAAAGTTTTGCGAAAAGCGCGCTCTGATATTTATGGAAAAGCGGGGTGTTACACGGCGGCTGCTCTTCCCGAAGAAGTAAAGAGACGACATCTACGCCTCTCAAATCATATCAACGATGTTCGAACGACATTCAAGGCGCATTCGGTTCAACCAAAAATAGCGTTTGATCCGAGAAAAAACTATCAAGCCCTCGAGCCAACGTTATGCAAGTCCAAATCCATATTCGAATCGAAGATCCACATCCAAATTCAAGAAGAGAAGAATCAGATGAGATAAATAGAGATTGTACCCACAAACTCGTTTGATCTAAATAAAATATAGTTGTACAAAAATTTTGTGATTTTCATAAAATTTATTGTTACAATACCGAATAGTTATGATCTTTTTCATTAGGAGTATTAATTATTTTTGAATATCATTGTTTATTCTAGAAATTATTTATAGACATAAATTTTTCCCCATTGAACTCGTAGTAGATCACGGGCTTGAACGATAAGGCAGTCGAGCTCCGCGGGTAAAGCCCGTCCGAAACTATGTTTATGGTCTGAAACATTTACCAATATCCCTTATATTCTCATGTATTAATGCAAACAAAAATTAAACTGCATCTCCAACTAAATGCATGTAAATAATTAATTAAACTAATAATCACCAAAAACAATGCCAATTTGTATAATTGAAATACTATATGCAAGAGACAGTTTTGCTATGGAGTAATCGGTTGGCTCGATCGGCTTAAAAACACAAACTACAAAATAAATTTAATTGATTGAGCAATATATAGGTTGTAACTTTCATGTTGTCTGTTTATTATACAGATTTCAGATTGTGGATGCCCACATCGAAAAATGAGCTTACCTTCCATTTTTTTTTTTTTTTTTTCACTTATTATTTATTTATTTTGGGTTCCTCGTTAAACACTACCTGACAAAAGATAGTCCACGAAAATTAAAGATATAATAATACATGGAAATGCTATCGTTACGGTACTATTCTGTCGGGTGTTTTAACCGTTGAATCATCTATCTTATCTAATTATATGTGAATCCAACGGTTAAAACACCCGACGGGGTATGGTACCGTAACGAGACCTAGTATTTCCGAGTAATATAATCTAATCTAATAATAATAATATATATGTATAAATTTCCATCTCTAGAGACGCTGATCAAATCCTTAATAGTGGTAAGTAAATCACATACTCTCATTAATGCAAAAATAATACAAACAAAAAGAAGAAATAAAATTACTTACCTGGTAAATTACAATGTCACATCACAACAGTTGTGATCAATTTTGGTCATTTGCGCTCCTGTTCCCCGTTTATTTTCATCCTTTATATGTTCAATAAAATAGAAATTATTACAATACTACTTATAAGAATGAAAAATTAAATTAAATTGAATTAATAAGAAGAGAAGACACACACACACACACACATATAAATATACATAATTATATATACGCTTTTGTGGATATGCTTGGCTCCTCATACGCCATCTACGGAGGGCCATCGAGATTCCGAAGGGCTCTGCAAATGGCATACAGGGAGCCAGGCATATACGTATATATACATATACATATATATACATGATTAGTGTATAATAAACACATAATCTTCTCTAACTTCTTTATATATTGATCATATTCTTGGTGTTGGAATTAAAACCCATGCAAATGAGAGAGGAATATAAGAGAGGAATAAGTAAATAAGCATAAACACACACACACACACACACACACACACACACACACACACAAACAAGAAACACGCTCTAAGATCCTTTTGAAATGGCAGAAAACAAGCAAAAACCAGAGGCTCATCAACACAAGAAAAGGGCTTATTATTGTGAGGAGGAGTGAAAGAAGGAGCTTTTTGTGGGGATTTTACCCACTAAATATAGAAACACACGTTAGAGAGAGAAAAACAGAAAGGTGACTAATCTTAATCTAACCCCGAGAGAAAGAGTAGGGTTTATGTTATAGGGAAACGATACGGTCCCGTTATGATCTAACGGCTAAAACACTCGACGTGATGGTTATGCAGGACCATAACATTTTCCTATGTTATAATGTTAATTCTAAGATTTTTCTTCATTTTTATTTTTATTTTAAATTTTTTACCAAAAAAAAAAGAGAATTAAAAAAAAAAAAAGGTTTGAAATCTTCTTTTTCTGGGTCGTAAAGTAAAGGTTGCTTTTTTGTTCTGAATATATGTGTTTGTCTGGGAGCGTTTGGACGAGACCTGGATTCCTCTCTGCCCTCTCTTACCACACCTCACAAACACTTTCTATTTTAATTATCAAAAGTAGATTTATAAAGTAAAATCAACAAGTAGTAATAATTAAATAAGTAAAAGATTTCACATATATATTGTTGACCACTCAAAAGAAAATATGACCTTTCTCTCGTCTTTCTCTCTCTTCCTTTACTCGTACCTTATTACAATATATTATGTTAGATTTTTAAACAAGTTATGTTAAAGTTGAAAAATTGTGTCAAATATTATAATCAACACTTTAATTGAGAAGATTGTAAAAATCCTGAACTGGTTGAGTTATTGATAAATCAAATGATTGTAAACTAATCCTCTTGACTAAATGGTTTTTTAGAGATACAATAAAAATTATTTTGGTTTATAGTTGGTTACCAAATGAATAAAAAAATCACCGATGTTCCCACGAGCCCTCCGCCCATTTTGCGGCATATTTTGGGGCATTTCAGACTTTGTATTTTCGAATGATCTCTAGCATAAACATATTTTCACTTTGGTTTTCACAAGGATTCAATCTTGGAGAGTAAAAACTCCAAGATTCATCATTTGGGATTTAGATTGCTCGTCGTTTTTTCGACATGTGATTTTCTATTAATCATAAGCACCTCTTTTCGTTTTGTGAATGATGATGATGGCTTGATTAATTGTGAATTTTTGTGTTGAAATTGCGATGAGTGGCTAATTCCGTAAGCTACGGATAGGGGATGATCGTTTCGGTTCGTTTTTGATTACGTGTTCGTAATTGCTCAACCTATGCGAGTTGTGTGAATTATAGGGTTAGTTGGTTGATCACCATTCTAACCTAGTTAATTGACTTCTGAAACCGAAAGGGGAGAAGTATGTCGATTTAGGCTCGTTTAGAATAGACTTGTTTGTTATTGTATTGTCTATGTGTTATTGGATTTGATAGTTAATCGTCTACATTCACTCTCTTTTGCTACGAAGAGTTATTGAGAGAACATCTGGCCGAGTAAACGATTCAAATCCTTTAACCGAGCAACTATTTGCCCGGTAATTGTATTGGAACCGAAAGCGGTTATCCCCGATTCCCTATCTCTTTTATCATTAAGTGAATTTGTTTGCTATTGGAATCTCGCCTTGCTTATTTTGAGAATCGTAGTAGTTAATCAAAATAAAAAACAATTGAATTAGAATGTTTAGGATTTATTTTCTCTTTTTGTGATTCAATATTATTTAATCCGGCTAACCTTCCTTGAGACACGACCTGATGATTGAATCTTTTGATTTAACTCAGGTAAAAATAACTACAACAAGAATATATAGATAGTACCCTCAAAATCGTTTGATCGAAATAAAATCAAATTGTATAAAAGTTTTATGTTTTTCCATACAATTTGTTGTTACAATAGGGCAAATACCTTGAAGCAGAAGAGGGTTCTTGTTAGAAAAGAGATCAATCTAGATCCTACCTTCTTAACTTACCACGTCTTTATCTTGGCAAGAGTCCTTGAATGAGTGATTCTTTCATTCTTACTAGGATTCTTCCCCCTTTTACTGTTTTACCCGTGAGTGATTCTTTCATTTTTACTAGGATTCTTCCCCCATTTATGTTTTAGCCCTTGGGTTTGAGGTCGTGACTCCGACCTCCTGACCTGTCTGCTGTGGCCTTTTCAAGGGAGTACTTGACCTCATTCTTAGGTCTAACATGTCCTCAGACCACCTAATCTCAATACCTCAAGGTTGGCTATTCTGTTGGACTCTTGGAGGTTTGTACCTCCAAGTCTTGTCTTTTCTGGTAGCTCGATACCATAAGCCATGTACGCTAAACACCACTACTCCAAACACCAACGACATCCACCCAAAAGGCAGAAAGTGTAGCACGAGACCCAGTTCTAGAAACTCCCTTCTAATGACGGCAAACCAAATCCCAACCAAACACCACCGGAAGAACACCTGTAGACCCTCGCCCACTCTTTCCCCTGCACAATTCTGCGATTGCAGCCCAACACCGTCTCAAATGTGAGCCACCACCGTTGGAGGTCCACACCTTCTAAACACTAAGGGAGGGGGGACGGGAAAGAAGATGATGTCGATCTTTAGCTCGATCACTGACAGGCTGGCCACTTATGGACCGTCGATAATTCGTCGGACATCCCAACTCCGTTAGGCCGCCCAAGTTATGGGGAAAAATCGTCCTTCACAGCAGGAGCCGAGTCCTCGTCGGACTATCCTCGCAGTCTAGAGGCCGCTCGGAGTCGCGGGGCACATAGCCCCGGCCGGAGAAAGGGCTCACGAAGAAGAAGGCCGCAAGGGTAAATCGATTCGAGGATTTGCTACATTGCTACAGTGATTTTACTGATTCTTAGATGTGTTTGGTTGTTTTAAAAAACACAAAGTATTATGAATGCCACATCTGCACATCTTCATCATCACTCTATTCAAAACGTGTGGATATAATTTGTTGTTATTTCTTACGACATTAACCATTCTCATTATTAATGGTCTAACTATTTGGACATTGAGATCAAATTTCTTTGGCCTCAAGTTCAGATTTTGGCAGCCCAAGGTGATCTTTGCGATCCCGGCCATTTGTATCTTTGCGTGGTGGAATGTTCGAAAAATTCCACCCGAAACAACTATGCCGGATAATGTCGATTAAGCGCACAACATGAATACAATACACCTATACTAATGATAATAGCACAGAAAATTTTACAATGTTGTGTGTTGTGAAGAAACATGGAATGATTAATTAGTTAATTAATTAGGGAATACTCCCTTAGGGATAATTACATCGCCAATGTTGTTGTGCCATGGGTCAGCCAAGTGAGTTGCCAAGTTCTCCAGAGGCCCTGTCCCGGGGTATGCCGACTGTTGCACGCAAAATCCCACGAATGCCAACAACGCAAGACGACCTTAAAATACACAAAAATTATTTGTGTTAGACCTAGATAATATTAAATATAGGGAGATTTTACAGTCCTATTATGAGACTATTCCGCTAGAGTTTGTAACCGTTAGATCAACTATCCACGACAGTTACACAATGATCTAACGGTTACAAATCCCGTTACAGAATCACGGAATGATTCTGTAACTGGAGTAGCATTTCCTTTAAATATAATCATGGGTGTTTATTGAACCAGACAAAAACCCAAGTTTATTCAATTTTTTTTTCATACCATTCTTAATCTCCTTGATTTTGAGCTCCTTCAGCTTTTGTGGGTCCTTGGAGTATCCCAACGGGTCGAAAGCCCCGCCCGGATACTTCTTTCTTTCCGGGTCTTTCTCCATGCTCCTTTGGTGCTCAACAAAGGCAATTGCTAAGAATTCAATCACCAAAATTGTGGGTAGGGTCCCCCATGGAACCGGGTTGCCCAAATAAGTCGCTTGTCCACCTGGAACTGCGGCCCACTCTTGCGCCTTGACCCAGTTTCCCAGGCCCAATGCCTCTGGGACTAAGATTCCAGGCTGCAAATTCATATATATAATAATTACTTATTATATTCATCAGTTTTTTATAGTATCAGATATAAATTAAAATAGTTATTATTAAAAACTCAATTAAACTTACAACAGCAAGCATAGCCCATCTGCAGTGAATGAGCTCAGACTCCTTATATCTCTCAAGATTTTCCGGGACTTCTCCTAGACGAAGTGGGTCGAATCCAAAATCTCTGAAATCCAAAATCTCATTAAATGTTACAAGTTTTACACAATTTTATGTGATCTCATACAATTTATTAGTAATTTTGAAATATACTATAAGTTATGAAAAAATTCAAATGTGTGACAATTAAATTACCCGGGAGCCGAGCCGTCGAGGTACGGGGGACGAGGCTCGCCCGGCATCCACTCGGCCGACATGGTGAACCGGGACTTGGAGGCATTTGTGGCACCGAAACTCGCGAGGCC